CCGGTGCCACCCAAGAACCTACAAGCTCTGCAGAGGAACTCTGCACCCCAACAGCAGTTGTTCTGCAAGAAGTCAGCTCTCCTGTTCACATGCCTCAACCAGCAGGAGATGCTCCCTCCCCTCTCACCTCCCTCTCATTCTTTGCCTGTCAAAGGCTGAGGTTTTGGCTTTGCCCTTGTCTTCACCTCTTGGTTTCTGCCTGATCAAAGAGTGTCATGTCAGCACAAGGAGCAGGAGGAAAAGACTACACGTGTGGCTGCTATCAGGATGGGTAAAGATCCTGAAATGGGCTGTGCTTTGCTGTTTCCTCCCTCCCTCTCTCCCAACTGCCAGATGCCCTTGGTCCTGCGGCTGAAAGGAGATGAGGTTACTGCAGTTCATTCACACGGCACACAGGGCTCCTCTGCCTCTCTTCCTGTTTGCATGGAATTATTGGTCCCTCTGGCAAATGGAGAAAGGAAGAAGCAGAGAGGGGGAGAGAGAGGAGATGATGGTAAGAGAAGATAGACTTTTCCCTGATTAATGAGTTGGAAATGAATAACAAGTGGTATCAGAGTGATGTGGCTACCTTGCTGCTGACACGAGTTCCCTTGAACAGCGTGAGCCAATTCTGGGTAACAAAGCTCCAGTCTCTTCTACCCATTCTAGGCTCTCTATCATCACCCCAGCTTTGAGTCTTCTGGCTAACCTAGAGTCACCTCAGGAATGGCAAACAGCAGCAAAGCCGTTACAGGAGCAGCATCCTTCCACCATCCCCTCCCCTCCAAAGCATCTTGTAAAATGACAAGTCATCCTTTCTCGGCTCTGCCTGGCCTGATGAGCTGCGAAGCCAGCGTCGCGACATGGGGAGCACACAGAGCACAGCCACTTCGGAGCAACACCAACTTCTGCAGCACGAGCCGAGATCAACATGAGCGGAACTTGCCATCTGAAGCTGAACTGCAACAATTCCCCATGTCTGGCTGTGAATCCGGTTCATCGACAGCTTGACACTGCTATCAGCACTGACCTTCGGATGGCAGGAAGCACAACTGAGGCTTTGACAGGGCCTTCCAACAGGAAAAGTCCCATCTGTGCTCCTCCCAGGAAGATGAAATGCACAAAGTAGAGCAGCTGCCCCCTCCTGCTAGCACAGGAGCAAAGGGCAGCTCTCTGCCACTGCTTGGGAAGAAGGGGAAGGGAGGAGATCCAGCCTGGAGCCTTCTCCACAGCATCAGCTGTAATAGCCAACTCCCCCTATGGAAACTCACTTTAAAACAGCAGCTGCATTCTTTTGCCAGTACCACTCACCATTTCCCCAGGCAAATGAAGCTATCCTACCAGTATGTCCTTTTCTTCCCTTGCACATCTAAATGTACCTTTGCAAAGGCAGTTTAGGTTGGCATGTTTGGTTTTCTTCCTAGGGCCCTTGTATTGGTGTCATTCTTTCACACTTCTAACCACACATACACACAAAGAAAAGAACGAAATCAAATGTGAAGTGTTCAAGCAACCTACAAAACTTCCTACTACAGAATAGCCTGCTGACCAGCAAGACCCTGCTTCGGGAGATTAAAGTTGAGATCTTTGAAGCTCATTATTCCTGCTGATGACTGGCTCCTACACAGCCTACGTGCAGTGACAGCTCATCACATCCTACTTGAAGGCTGAAAGTGAGACCTGACCCCACCACCTTAGCTTCCTTATAAATGCCACCGCATGGCAGCACAGAAAATATGCCCACAGACCCTGTTTCTTTCTGGGCTCCTTCTCTAGCTTTACTCAGCCATCAATACCTTGTTCTACAATCACACACAGCTCTCCAAAACACAACAACCAGCTGTTCTCTGAAGCAAGAGTTTTAAGACCCACAGCTTCCTTAGTCTTCCCAGAGAACAGGGTGTAAGAGACATGAAAGACAGTGTCATCCTGTACCTGAGGAGGTACCTGATCAGAGGTATTGGCAATAACCAGCTGGGTTCAAAAAGGTGGGGTTTTTAAATGAGGCCTGCACAGAAGTGGGGACAAAAAAACAAAAGAGAAGAGTTAGAGAAGCCTCTTTCTTCAATCATTGGACTTCCACCAGGGTGACACATTACAGAATGAAAGAAAACTCTACCTTAGATCCTAAATTCCTCCTGTATGACCCTCAGTCCCACAGACCTTACAGCCTGGCTTCAGGGAACACAAGTCTGACTCATGGTGGATTTGAGATGTCATCCCAATGCCATCTCCGAACTACTGAAGTGAGAGATGGGAACTTAAAAGGAAAAACAATAAAAAGACAAGAAAGAGAAGAACAAATACCCAAAATAGTGGCAATGCCAGGGAAAAACGGGTAAAACCTAGTCTGCAGCAATAAGGCAAGCAATTAGATTATGCCTAGAAAAGGGTCCTAAAGGCCTTTTTCTGCACGTAGAAAATGATACTGATAAATAATCCACACATACTCTTTACCCGACTGTTTCCTTACAAATCATTTCATCTCCACTGAACTACACAGTAAGGGAATAACATTTTAGGAATGACCCACGCCTGTTGTAGCCAAATGCCTTTAGCAGCTGGCACCATGCTCACCTCCCCAGGTTGTCTCTTCAACATCAGTATCCCGCACTGCTGGTGACTGCTCTGAGCACGAACACTGCCCAAGCCACTGCCAGAACTAACTACTACTAAACCAGATAAAAGCAGTAAGAAGCAGCTGCAGTATTTTACCGAGAAGATGACAAAAGGATGCGTAAAGCTGGGAAATGTATCACAGAAAAGCCAAAAAGAGAACTTAAAAGCCCTCAACTGCTAGCCTTGTGCAGGCCACCTTCCCTGTCAAACTGGTCTTCTCCATCCTCTAGCAGCTATGAAATAAAAGAATGTGAAGAATAGAGGCAAAAGAGGAAAGAACAGAAGAAGAAGGAGGGCTGCTTACAGCACAGATGCTCATTCTTGTGATTTCCTCCTCTCCTCCCACCCTAGGAGTACTTTCATCAGCATGTGCTGCACATCACCAGAACCGATCATAACTGATACAGGATTGTTTCTGGGAAACAGCCTTTTTATAATGTGTCTACAGAGCGCTTTGTATCCAAGCACCATCCCACCTAAAAGCATCAATCAAAACAAATCAAATACTACTGCTCACAGGCAAAACAGAAATACAGTACTGGATTGCAAAACAGGCAGGAAACTCATTAAGATTCCCTTAAGGGCAGTAGGGGAAAAGTACCAATTCCCATTCATAGAAATATCATCCCTAGATGTAGCACAGAGGTCAGTAAGAAGTGACTGTACTACAGAAATACCCATATAAAGAACACATTGGAGAGATACTGGAAGAGTTTTAAATTGCTTCAAAGTAAGCTTGACCATCAGTCTTTTTCCCACTCAGCCATTACCAGGGACATATTTTGGCAGGTTATGCTAACACCGCTCTTAGAAGAGCAGAAGAGATCCAGGGGTTCCCACTCTGCAGCAGATGCACATACCCAAGCCTGGATCAGCCAGAAGACTGCAGTAGAGCAAGGAGAGAGATGAGAAGAGCTGCCAAGAAACACAGTGAAGACTGGCACAGGGGTGCAGGTCAGAATAAAGGACTATTAAGAGCTCCACTGCAAAGCAAACTTGCCCTGATTTTGCCTTTACTCTTCTGGATCCTGCCCTGTATGGTCTATTTCTGCTTTGGGGGTCACTGCAAGCAAACACAAGGTACAAGAACAGCAAAACAAGGAGGGATTTTTTCCTTTGCCTTTTTTAATGAACTCATAGGGTGACAGTTAGGAGGGAAGGGTTAAAGGTCTGAAAATGAGAGAAAGAGGATCTGTGTGACAGGAAGGGAGCATGTGAGGGGGCGTGTGACAGGCTGTGCAGCAGAGTATGTGTATGTAGATCCCATTCCCTCCAAGGCTGTTGGCCAAATGCGGCGCTGAACTTTCTGCAGACTTTGTCCTGCCAAGTCATGTTCCCTTCTCACACTGCCTGACATCACCACAAATACTCAGCTGGAAAACAGGACAGAGCCAGGCAGAGTCCACTGCTCAAACACCAGCCAGTGAAACGGCTGCGCTCACAGCACACCCACCAGATGGGAAACCAGAGCCATCCCTCTCCTCACAGGTCATCCCCAAACCCAGGAGGCCCTACTCTTATCCATCCAGAGAGAGCCCTAACAAGGCACAAATTGAGAGGTGCTAACAAGCAAATGCTTTTCTACCACCCAAATAATGTAGCTGAGAATGGACTGAGCACAGAGACTCTCACAGAGAAAATCAAAAGGCAACCATCAGATTGTCAGTTTGTCACAGCGTGTTGTAAGGACCCAACTCCATTCCTACTTCTGGTGCAATCCTGCCATGAGGAGAAGAGGAGAAGGAAGCCATCATACACAACCCATGGACAAGCCAGGAACCAGTGGCTCTGCAAAGGCCAATGCCCAGCAGGATCTGTATGAGACAAGCAAACACCACTGTCAGAGAGCTCCCATCACCTGACCTCTTAGAAACCACTGTGAACCCAAGATCAGTGCTGGAAATGGGAGCACGTGGACGAGCCTGTGGGAGCGGGCCATGGGGCTAAGCCCATAGGTGGCTGCATTTCTTATTTTGATCCCTGTATCGAGGGAGAAGGGTGGGGATGGCCTGACAATTCTGGGACACCACTGAAGGCACCACCCAGAGCAAGTATCAGGGAGTAGCAGCTGGAGATGATACAAGGGAGAATGAAGTCTTCAGTTTCTTGTTTTTATTTCAGCCTTCACCCCAAGAGCCTGCTTCTTATAAGCAGCATGACAGAAAATGCCCTTACAGTGCAGGTGACAAGGAGGAGAGTCATGTTGTCTTCAGGCAAAGGCTTCTGCTTTCTCCACTCCTATATCCAAGCAGCAACTAAGGAGCTTCCTGCAGATCAAGAATAACTTTTCCTTCAGAACCATATAGCCCAGAAAGTCAAGTCCCCTCTTCTCAGGGGGGTTGGAACTTGATGATCTTAAGGTCCTTTCCAACCCTAACTATTCTATGATTCTACGATTCTCAGACACACACAGATAACAGAAGCTACATTATATGAATAGAAACTACATTATATTACATGAGTGCTGAGGTGCTGGCACAGGGTGCCCAGAGAAGCTGTGGCTGCCCCATCCCTGGCAGTGTTCAAGGCCAGGTTGGATGGGGCTTGGAGCAACCTGCTCTAGTGGAAGGTGTCCCTGCCTGTGGCAGGGGGTTGGAACTGGATGAGCTTTAAGGTCCCCTCCAACACAAACCATTCTATGATCTATACTTACCAGTATTTTACATTTTAACATTCCTCACAACAATGTTCCCTCTTCCTTTGCTAAGGGTGTCTGACACCTTCCTTCAAGGACTAGCAGGGCAACCTCTCTGCATGCTATACTGACCTTAAATCATATCTTCAGAGCTTCCTGCCCAGACCTGCAGATGCCCAAGAATCGCCCCCCCTCAGCAGCTGTTACCACAAAACCATCTTTTGAACTTCTTCCTGGCTCATTCACAGAAACCAGGATGTTATTCCTCTCCTACAGCCAACAGCCGTGGGTGAGAAGCCATCAGTCAGACCACCAGGATCACAGAGTTGGTGTTTGAAGACAAGGTGACAGCTTTTCCTTCTCCACCTGCAGCATGCAGTGGGTGAGATGCCCTGCCCTGGTGGCAGCACTCATGCAAGCCAAAGCACGCTGGCGAGGAGAGCTGGCCACAGCGCTCTGGATGTGCATGGGTGCATGCGTGTCACGGCAAGCACCCTCCGAGCAAGTCTCAAAGGGCTGTTCCAGTGCAACTTCGTGTCCCCACAAACATTTGCATGTGGGTTCCTGCTGGTAGGCACGCAAGAAGCCACTACATGGGCATGTCTGACAGTATGACTGCGTCAAACCCGCCAGGGAAATTCACTGACACGGCATGTGGAGGCCTTTGGGGGCTGGCACATTGCAGCATGCATGCCCCTGGCAACCGAGATACACCACGGAGCTGTTGCAGAAGCCTGTCTCTTTGCCCTCATTTCATAATGGCCCCAGATAGACTATTCAGATTCCAAACATTTTCCTCTAAATGGATCTCTACACACGTTTTCCAAAGTTTCACTCATTCAATTTATTTTCTAAGCTAATGGCAATTTACAATAAAGCCTAAGACAATCGTTTAAACAAGCAAACACCCTACCCAAGCAGCACATGGTTGCTGGAGAACGTTTAAAGAGCCTAGCTCCTTAACTCAAGAAAGTCACTAAGTCCACAGAATGAGACTCCACTCAAGTACCAAGCAAATCCTTCCTTAAAAGGCAGAAGGATTAGTTTCTTCAATTCACTTCTTACATTAGTTCAGTTCAAAGCTGGAGGAGGCAGCATAAACCAGAGGGGGGTGTTTCTCTCTTCCAATCTCTGACTAAAGACAAGGGAGGATGAGTTATGTTCATTCTAAGATCTGGAAGGACACAGTGACCAAAACCAACCCGTTCGCTTTGCTAAATATAGGTAACACTGGCCTGTTAGAGTAAGTCAGTTTTAACACTACACTCTCCAGCAAGCACATTGCATGTTTTCTTGTATGTACCCGGTGTGTGATTAGAGTCTAATTACAACAAAATCTGCATATTTAATTTAACCTTTTTATCCAAATGCAGTTTTGCACAAGTCATGAGGAACGAAATTGCTCGCCTAGTAAATACAAGTGACCATTTTCTAATGTAAACATTGACTGTGATATAATACAGCACAAATGGGGGCACACACGGTATCACCCTGTTTAGCAAGAAGCAGTAACAGACCAGCCTAAACTATTAGAACAAACCTCTCTTTTAAGAAAGTACCAAATGCAAAACAAAGCTTAAATGAATTATTTAAACCACCAACTTTAATCATGACTTAAATCAGCGAGTGGGAAGACTTGATTTAAACCCATTAACCTTGTTTGTCTCATAGCTGTGGTAGGAGCAGTGAGCAGAACAACCCCTCTCCCTGGAGGACAAGGATACAACTTCCATGCCCAGTTCAAGACATTTTACGAGTAGAGTTGCCAAATGTTTTTTCTAAACCATAAAACAAACTCCAGAGCCTCACATGCCAGAGCCACCTACTCTCTTGTCAGTCATCTGCTTTAGCAATCGGGCTGATACTCACCCAGCATCTTTTATTTACATCTCAGCGAGGTTTCTCCATGTACACAATACAGCCTGACTCTGCAGCGTGGCTTCTGTATTGCTCCAGCCCTCCCAGCCCACGAGACCGTTCTCCTACTTAATCCTACAGACACTGTTCAAAACAGGAATTGGAGTCCTCATTCTCTAGCACTGCTCTCTTCAGCTCTACCCCAACTTCCCACTAAACAAATATTTATCCCTTAAACACACTGGAAGGTCTGCAGTGCTCTGCTCTTCTCTGCACTACCCCAATTAGCCTTTGCCCTCCCCATGTAAGAGACTTAAAAGATTGACAGCCTACACTGCAAAGTGATTTATGAAGTTATCCCAAACTCGAGTGTATCACCTTAACATTCTCTGACACCAAAGTAATTCTGCTTTACAGGAAATCTGGTTTTGAGATCTCCAGATCTAAAAGTACAAGTTCCACTGGCTCCAGGGGTGTCTCCTTTTTAGTGAGGACACAAGAAAGGAATTTGTCTATGCTCCAAATATGGAAGAAAGGTATTTTGTCCCGAGCAGGGAGTCACAGAACAACGACGACACAGGAGTGCTGAAGCAGCCCATCCTACACTCATAGCAGAGGCATTTTTAGCACCTGCCACGAAAGACAGCCTCTAATCTAACAATATTATACACCTCTCAAAGCCAAACAGACCACAACACACCTTCTCTGCAGTAACCACGATGAAAATGCCAAGTCAAATGTTGTACTTTTCTATTACCAGTATGATCCAATGACCAAGTCCAACCTGCTCGCAGCTGAAACGCAGAACCTGTACCTGTCAGTGGAAGCACTGCCCTGAATTCCCTCCTAAAACGACATTCCTTCCCACCAAGACAAGTTTCCACAGCCAAGAGAACATGATTCTGCTGTCCTAAATTATTAGGTTGTGATGAAAACAAGACAATGTAGCCTACTGCAGACCAGAACAGTTTCCCCCAGTGAAACAAGGTATCTCTGTACAGTCATAGAACGGTTTGGGTTGGAAGGGACCTTACAGATCATTCAGTTCCAACCCCACTGCAACAGGCAGGGACACCTACAACAAGGTTTCACCTCAGTTCTGAAGCTGATTTTTCTCCCAGACTGCCAGGTCTGTGAATCTTGTCACTTGGTGGAAGGGAGGCAGTGACACGCCATCTGATAAGCTTTCATATTCACCATGCAAAGACCCACACATCCGCAACAATGAGACTTTCACAAGCAGCTGCTTCCAGAGCAGAGGGCAGGATCCCCCTTCAATGCAGCCAAGACAAAGCACATTATATCCCATATTCTTCCTTGAGCAGATTTGAACATCAGTTCTGAAAAACAGCAACAGACCTTACATTCAAAACTTAAGCTTTTGAAAACTGTGATCATGAGAGCCATGCAACCACAGACCACATCTACTTACAAGAGACATGACCTGAGGTCTGGGACCATCAAACGCTGAACAACAGCAAGAAAATCATCCTTCTGCTTACCACAGTATGAGCACACTGAGTTGTGAGGACTAACCCAAGAGAAAGCATCTTTGTGGGGAAGAAAAAGAAGAGCAATCAAACACACTGGAAACACAGCTCTTCCTGCAGGTGTGAGATCAGGGCAAGGCAGCAAACTCACGCTCTGTCCTCTGCTCTTCTGCACACCCTCTGCCCGCTCCTCGCTGCACAGCAGCTGGTAAAGGAACCGTGCTGACAAGGTGCAGAGCGCCGTGGCAGCAGCAACTGGAAACGACTGCTGACTGTAACCCAAGGCACAGAGCCAGCGCACACTAATTCTCTGATAAAGTTTCCTATTCCTCAGTTTTGTTTAGAGTAGGCAGTTTATATATATAGCCCTGCTATGGTACTTCTCACATCCCTTCACAACACAAGTAGCTGCAAGTTTCCTCCAGCAGCTACAGAGCTCCCAAGCAGCTCTGCAACGACCCAACTTCTGTCCTGCCTAAGGCTGGTTTGGGTTTATTTCCCCCACCTTTCATCTCGGTGGGGTGAGCTGGAGGAGGTCACCAGTTATTGCTACCCCTGCTCTTCTCATGTAAAAAGTGGCCTTGTATGAAGCAGGATGGAGAGGTGTACGCATGGATGAGAAAGAAACATCACTGAGGTAACAGCTCAGAGCTGGGTTTCAAAAGCGGTTACCCAGGAAGCCACACAGTCAGTCTGCCCTCACCAGTCTTGCACCAGCAGTAACGTCCGGGTACACGTGCCACAGGTGTGACAGCAGAGAAGGGCAGCAAGGCCAAACTCCATCTGGTCCTGGCACAGTGTGTCCTACGTCCAACGCCCTCTTTCTGTAGCCCAAAAGAAAGAAGAGCCGAGCTCAGCAACACTTGACTGAAATGCTCAAACCACATTTGCCTCCTCAGCTGAAAGACACTTATTTTCCCTCCTGTTTCTACCTCAGCAGGGGGGTTATGTCTCGCTTGAGACTCATTTACCCCACAAACCAAGCCCAGTACTCACTAAAGGAAGTACAAACCAGCTTTTCCTTTTTCTGCTGTCTCAGGTATAGCCTTCTCTCTGGCACCCAGGGAGAAGCACACACTCCATGATCCTTGGAAGGAGCAACAGAGCCAAGAGAGCTCTTCCCTACAGACAAACATAGCCTGCAGTCGCAGCCAGAAACCGGCTGACACAAGTGATCCAGGGGGTTAGTCAGAAACGTGACTCAGTGTGAGAGACTCCCTCACTGAAATCCTCGCAGAGAAGGGCCCGGTTGTGCTCCCAGGAAAAGCGGACAGGAAGTTTCAGGATGTAAAGTATTGCTGTTCCACCGGTGATCCAAGGCGGGTTTCTGGTCCAGAGCAAAACACCCCTCCTGACACATCCGTGGCACAACGAGTGTCAGTGAGGCGGCACAACAACGAGCCACCACCGGTGTAAGCAACGTTACCTTTGAACAGCACCCCGCAGGCTGACAGCTGTGCAGGCCCCCCTGTGTGCTAGAAAGGCCCGGGGCTGACAGGATGCAACGGGCGAACGGAGCACAGAAACACGGCGCTGAGCCGAGGAGACAAGGGGAGACGGCAGCTGACAAGTGTCCCCCGAGCACACATCCCCGTGCTGCGTCTCCCGGCAGCATCCCAGGGAACAGCAAACGGTAACGCGGCTCTTCACACGCACGGTAACCGCCATCCCACCCCGAACTCCTGTTCTTGCGCGCCAGGTCCCGCCACCTCCTGCGCCCGCCCGACCCGACCCCCTCCACTGAGGGACCGCGTCCCCTTCGCTCGGAGATGGGCACTCGAGGCGCGGGGCCGAGCCGACCGGTGGGGCAACACCGACCCCACACCGGCTCCCGCCTCCCCTCCACAGCGCGGAGGAGCCCGGCCCGTCCCCGCCAGGCCCGGGGAGCTCAGCGGGACGGGACAGGCCGCTACCGCCACCGCTCTCCCTGCCAGCGGCTTCCAGCGCGGCCCGGCCTGGCAGCACCACACGGCGCTGCACCGCCGGCACCGGGTCCCAGGAAACGCCGCCGCGGCTCGGGCCGGTGCAGGCCGCGGGGCGGGAGAGCGCGTCCCGATCCCGTACCAGGAGCCCCGGACACGCGGAGAGACCGCGCCGGGCCCGCGAGAAGGGGAACGAGGAAGAGAGGGAAGGAGAAGGGAACGGGGAGACAGGGAACGGGGCAGGGGCGCGCGCGCGAGAGCAGAGCCCAGAGGAAAGTTACCGGCGCGGCCCGAGGCTCCCCGGCGCTGCGCGGCCGCCGCCCCCCGTGCGCAGGTGCTGCGAGAGGCGAGGGGCGGCCCGGCCAGGAGCGGGTCCCGGTGCGGGTCCGGTCGCGGATCCGGTCCCGGCGGAGCTCCGCTGATGTCACGCGCGGCCCGGCCCCGGGTCACGCGCAGCGCCCCCCGCCCCGCCTCGCCGCCGGCCGGCGCGCCAGGCCCCGCCCACAGCCCCGCCGCCGGCCCCGCCTCCTTCGGTCTGTGGCGGCCGCAGGCCACTTCCGGTGTGTGCGGGGCAGCCGAGTCCGTGCGGGTCTGCGGGAGGCGGCGGGTCCGTTCCGGCGCGGGTGAGGCGCGATGGCGGCGGGGCACGGCTGGGCGGGCGCCGTCCTGCTCCTCGCAGCGCTCTGCCTGCAGCCGCCGCCCGCCCGGCCCCGCGGGCTCCGCTTCGTAACGCTGGTGAGGGGGACGGGGCGCGGCGGCGGGACGGGACGGGACGGGGCTGCCCTGTCCCGGTGCGCGGTGTGACGCGGTGCCGCCCGCAGGTGTACCGGCACGGGGACCGCTCCCCCATCAAGGCCTACCCGCGGGACCCCTTCCAGGAGGATGCGTGGCCGCAGGGCTTCGGGCAGCTCACGCAGGTGCGTGCGGGGCCGGGGCTGGGACCGGGAGCGGGAGCGGGAGCGGGTCCCGGGCTGTCGGTAACGCGCGGTGCCGTTGCAGGTGGGGATGCGGCAGCAGTGGGAGCTGGGCCGGGCCCTGCGGCAGCGATACCGCGGCTTCCTCAGCGTGATGTACCGGCGGCAGGAGGTACCGGGGCTCGGGGGGCTGCGGGGAGCGGCTTCCCTCGGCGGGGGAGCGCCGGGGCCGGGTTTTGTCTCGGTGTTTGTGTTTCCCAGCCAGTCCCCACCGCAGGCGGGAGCAGAGGCACCGAGCAGCGGCTTCACCCCGAGCAGCGGGGCTATGGGGCTGCCGGAGCCGCCGGCTCGGTGCCCAGGGGAGACAGCAGGCGCGCTGTGCGGTGGCCGGTGCTGGCTGCTCGCTCCAGGCTGTAAGGTTATTGTGTGTGAGAAGAATGCAACCTGTGTTGGCTCTGTGGGGCACTCCAGGTACAATCTCGGGGTGTCTGTACACACAAGCAGTAGTTATTAACCAGAAGTGACCCTCTCATTTGTTTCCACCCATAGAGGACCGATGGTTTCAGTCCCCCAGAGCTATTCATTTCCCTCCCTCTCTCTCCAGGATGTTGCCACACTTTACAGTAGCTCTTGAGACATAGGTAGGTTTCTTGTGTAAAGAGTCGTGGGGCCCTGGTGGAGCCATGTGCTGAGCACGGGGGAAAACGTGAAACATCCACAAATGGAAGGAAATGAAAAGTCCTCCCCAAATACTCCTGATGGGTGTGAGTCAACGGGAACATGAGCAAGTGTCACAATGGGAGGTTTGCCATCACGGGGTTTGGGTGGGCAGTGGGCAGGCAGACCCTGTGCCCCACTACTGGCTCTGTATTGACTCAGTTGTTTTATCCGAGCTCACCTGGGGGGATTGACCACACTGAGAGCCCCTCTACAACTTTCTGTTGTTGTTTCCCCCGGTTTCAGGCTCCCCAGTGCATCCCCAGCCTGCCATAGTTCAGGCTGCACCCCTTCTTTGACATTTGCTTCATCAACAAAACTTCCCAAATGGGCTCAGCCAGGATCCTTTAACATTCCTCAGCGGTTCCTTTCCAAACATACTTCATTCCTATAAAGCTTTTGCCCACGGAATGTTTTCCTTCCCATATTTGAGAAGGAAAAACAAACGCAGGCGTATGCAAACAAAAGCTCTTCTGCAAACCAAGCCCAAAGCCCTGCTCCAGTTGAGCAACCTCCCTTAGAAGAAGCGTTGCCTCTGGGTGACACCCTGTGACCGTCTGTCACCTGACTCAGCGACAGGCTGGAGCCCTGGCACAGGGGCTGGAGGAAGCACCCAGGGCTTGATCGGCTTTTGCAACACTTCCACCATTAGATCCTTCTCCGCATTTCCCTTCTGTTTCTCCAGAGCTGACCATGGATGGAAGCAGTCCTGGGTAGGGAGCGCAGGGACAGTGGTTTTCAAGCCATAGTTACAAGTGGGTAGAAACCATCAGAGAAAAGGCAACTTTTTGTTTTCCTAGCAACTGTTTTGAGGCACCCTTCATGTGTGGGATGCTCTACAGTGAGCATACATGGTTTTCTCTTCTCCTTTAACATTAAAGAATTCCCCATCTTGACATTGTATTCCATTCTTCTGGCTTTTTATTCAGGTTGTTTCAGGTTCAACATCCTGGTTTCTAGGTCATGCCTTCATGATTTCCTGTGTGTTCCTCATGTTTTCTGACTGGTTGCTCTCCAGTCTCCCCCCAGGTGTTCTCAGCACACAGATATCACAATACCAAAGTTTTGCCATTTTGACCTGCTGTACTTCTCTGTATTTTTCTCATTTCTCTCTTTACTCTGGCTCAGATCTCTCCCTGTGAGCTCTGGAATGAGAAAGTCTTGGTCCATTAATACCAAGAGTCCACAATGATCAAATAAAATCCCAGCTCCCCCTTTTCCTCCTCTCCTGTTCATCAATCACTCTTGTCTTCATTTCGCAGATGGGAAAGTGTGGAGAAGCTTTTTCTGCATCTCTCTCTTGCTCTTATAGAATCCCAGACTGATTTGTGTTGGAAGGGACCTTAAAACTCATCCAGCTCCAACCCCTGTCACAGGCAGGGACCCCTTCCACTGTACCAGGTTGCTCCAAGCCCCTGTGTCCAGCCTGGCCTTGAACACTGTCAGGGATGGGGCAGCCACAGCTTCTCTGGGCACCCTGTGCCAGCGCTTCAGCACCCTCACAGGGAAGAACTTCTACCGAATGTCTAATCTCAATCTCCCCTCTATCAGGTTAAAGCCATTCCCCCTTTTCCTGTCACTACCTGCAAATAATATCCTTGTCCTATCACTGCTACTTGTCCAAATCCCCCTTCCAGATTTCTTGTAGCCCTTTTAGGCACTGGAAGCTGCTCTGAGGTCTCCCATGAGCCTTCTCTTGTCCAGGCTGAACAACTGCAGCTCTCTCAGCCTGGCTCCAGAGCAGGAGTGCTCCACCTCTTCTTTTACTCTTCCCCATATTCAGACTCCTTTCTACCTGTAACCTCTGCACAGCACCTGCCCGTCCCATTGATCCGGAACAGCCCACTGTAGTGTTACACACCCAGTTGTCTGTGTATCTGCCCCTACAGTTTTGGCCAGGCTGACATCAACAGGCTCTGTCCCATCAGCTCCCATTATCCTCTTGCCTGTGAGCAGCTGCAGGGCACTTGGCAACATTGCTCAGCGAGTGCACCCAAGGAGCACCACCGCTTACACCGGTGTTACTAATGGTGACTGTCCTGTCCTGTCCTGGCAGATCTTCGTCCGCAGCACAGACTATGACCGGACGCTGATGAGCGCGGAGGCCAACCTGGCAGGAATGTATCCCCCAGAGGGAGCACAGATCTTCAACCCCAACATCTCCTGGCAGCCTATCCCTGTGCACACAGTGGCCAGGTCTGATGAAAGGGTAAGTTGGGCTCAGGGATACGTACTCACTACTCCGTGTTGTTATGCTGACTTCTCCAGAAGTCTTTGCTTCAGTCTTAATTCAGGTTAAATTCCTCCTGGGACCTCTTTGCAAACGTTCTTCTGTCCTCAGATGAGGATTCAGGGGTTGTGTTCACTCAGCATGTTAGATGCAACACCCCAGCAGCCCGCGGATGGCCTGGAGTACGCTGGAGGCAGGACTTGAGGCTGTTTAGAGATGCCTCCTGCTCATCAGGGTTTCATTACAGTTGCACTTTTGACTGCAAGTTCTGTGCTTCCATGTTCAAGCTGCTGTTGTTGTCTCTGCCCAGCTACTGAAGTTTCCTTTGACCCCCTGTCCACGGTATGAACAGCTACAGAACGAAACCCGGCACTCAGCAGTATACATAAATAAGACCAAAGAGAATTGGGTAAGTGATTGTTTGCATGAGATAAGGTGGTCTTAGGCTTGTAGTTAAAGTAGTATCACCTCTATATAAGCAGAGCTCTGGGAAGCAGGTGGGAATACCTGTGCAAGTAATACAGCATAAGGTTTGAAAACTGAAGGCCTTTCTCTTTTCTCATACCTACAGCAATTCCTGCAGATGGTGGCAAATGAGACTGGGATCCGGGATGTCTCTCTCGAGGGTGTTTGGAGCGTGTATGACACACTGTTCTGTGAAGTAAGTTTGGCCATCACCGTACAGCCACTGGAATTTGGTCTGTGGGACTCTGGATTTTCCTTTGAAAAATTGCTTTGCAAATCCCATAAAATCCCCCAAACCTCTCACCATTCCCACCCTGCAGTTACAAATAATGATTGCAGAATAACAACAGTTCTCACCCACTAAAAGCATGTACCAAGATGTACCTGCTTGGCACTCTGTAACCTCCCCCTTTGTAGCTTAGGTATCGTGCCAGAGCCAGAAACAGTTCCTCCTGCATAATAAATACCTCTTTTGCAAGTCACTAGAAACAGCCACAACTGAAATCTAGATCTCTGTGAACAAGGCTGAGTCAAGACTGTGTGCACGTGGAGTTTCGTTGAAAGCCTGTCTTATGAAGGCTTAAACGAAATAAAAGATCAGGTTTAGCTGTGCTGTTATAGTGCTAGAGGTTATGTATCCAGGAGACTTACAGTGTTCACACACAAGTTTATTTGTGTGTAACAATAGAGTTCTTTCATCTCAAGCTAACTGAATGTGAAGGAAGCCGTAAACCTGAGCAGTCTGTCATGCTAATCCTGTGGAGGTGCAAGACTCCTTGGCTTGCTGGCAGTGGCACACAGTGGTATGTACTATTTTGGGGATGTGAAAGATAAATCTGCATGGAATTGCACTTTGCTATGTAAAGCAGCAGCTTGAGTTGCTGCAAGCTGAGAATATTCCAGTCCAGAGCTGTGTTGCACTGTGTAAATTTGCCCTTTGATACACAAACCCCATCTCCTCTCCTGGAACAGTGAATCAGAGTGAAACAACTTCTGTTAGCAACAAAAATCATTTGGTCAGAGAGATCAGGAATATCATATCTTCTTCAAGACTCAGTGAGCTCACACATTGGGCCCCAAAGGCCAGCTGACAGCCCCTGTAATCCCCAGGAACCTGCAGAATAGCTTCCCCAAATGAAACCAGCACATTGTGAAGAAGGGGAGTTTTTACTCTCAAAACTGTACCCTCAGGTCTCACCTGCTTTGGGCTTCTTCCTTTTTCCTAACTCATACAAACACTGCCCTGAAGAGGAGCATTGTTTTTCTCATCTGAGCCAGTAAATTCATTCTACCATAAGAAATAGCTCAGCTTCCCAGCCATTCTCATTGTAATTTACAGAATAACTAAATACCTGAGTTTGTGATGGGAGTTTCTCCACACCACTCAGAATGGGCCCTTAAGGATATTCAGCTTCATCTTCTGGCAGTTTAATGGGATGTGGCATAGAAAATTGCTCCATGTAATGCCAGGAAACCACAACTGCTGTTTGCCTGCCAGGATAACTAATCCTTTCTTGTAATAGGTTGGCTGCAAAGCAAATTCTTCCCTTGGTTCCCAGTTCTGTGTGTTCTGGGTTGGCATGCAGGGCTTTGTAAGTGGTGCATCCCAGTGTTAGGTCTGTAAAGCACTTGCTAACCTTCTCCAGGATCCTTCAGCAGCTCTCAGAGCCACCAGGGAAGTGGTACACCAGAAACCTCGAGTTCATGCTCGCTGCCTTATCTTTTCTGTTGGGTTTTGTGTTTGATTTTCTTCTTGACTGAATGCTATCTGCAGGGCAGAATCAGCCACATGTAAAGTAAACGCCTCGAGATTATTGTTATCAGTGGTACAACAAGATCTGGCACTCAAGTTGTGCTTTCACAGAAGTGTAGCTCCTACGTTTTACTCTTCATGCTTATCATTAGTAATTTCTGGAACAACATTAAACTCTGCATCTATTCTGTGTACACAGCACAGCAGTGTGAGGATAGAAGAATAGGAAAGGGGCGTATTTAACACACTACAGGAACCCAGTAGCAGGATGGGCAGGACTCCAGACCCCCTGACTCCCATCCTCTGATCAACCTGTGCTCTGTGCTACCCACACATGAGTGTTGTGTTTCTCTTTCTAGCAAGTACACAAAATGGATTTGCCTGACTGGGCGACACCAGATGTCATGACTCGACTGAAGCAACTCAAAGACTTTGGGTTTGAATTTCTATTTGGGATCCAAGATCGGGTGGAAAAAGCTCGTCTGCAAGGCGGTGAGTGCACCAGGAGGGACCTTCATGCTGCTCTGTCTGGTTTCAGCCTCTTAGTAGCTGTTCCCTTTCCTCAGGGGTCCTGCTGGGTCACATAAGGAAAAACCTAACTAAAGCAGCAGATGCTTCAGCCCACCAAGACCTGAAACTGCTTGTCTATTCAGCGGTAAGTCAGAGCTCAGGGGCTTTTATCCACCTCCTCACAGGGAGCTTGGGCTTGGTGATAGTTTTAACCCCTTCTGGCTTCTCTACAGCCTGCAGGGATCAGGACATGCACCTTTGCCCCTGGCTGGGTGGGGTGTGCAGAATCTGGCATCATTCCCAAGCTGCACTTTGTTCCTATTAGCTCAGGCTTGTGGATAAGCCACCGCTGTGTTTATTTGGTAGATGGGTTGATGCTACTCAGATATTCCCACAGTGAGGCAGAGTCATTCCCCCTTCCCAGCAGCTGACTGACTGGAAAGTTGGGTGTCTCCCAAATTGCTCCCTAGAGATTAATTCTGAAAGAACCATTCAGGATACACAACCATGTTTCACTTCCTCCCCTGGCACCATCACAGATCACCACTCTAGCAGTACAGTTCCTCTCCCATCTTCCAGATGGAAGTTGCAAAGGTGACACCCCCTCAGCACTTCCCTGGCCGTTACTGGTACAGACTGAGCTGCCACATCCCTAAGGGTGACTGATTTGGTTTTTTTCCCTCTTCCTCAGCATGACACTACACTTGTGGCACTGCAGATGGCTCTAGATGTCTACAACAAGATTCAACCACCATACGCCTCATGTCATTTATTTGAGCTGTACCAAGAGGATGATGGGTGAGGGCTGCAGTAAAGACGTCTGCTGTGATTTCACCTCAAGGGTTAGATACCTTAGGCCAGGCTCCACCCTAGGGGGATGCAATCTTGCTCCTAGTGGCAGACTTAGGAGGAAAACTACCACCAGAGTAAAGGAAAGCCTGTGCACACTGAGGTTATGGGAAGGGATGACTTAGCTGGAGAAAGAAGAACAAACCTAAACATGTGGCTCTTTCATTTTCAGTAACTACTCTGTGGAGATGTTTTACCGGAATGAGAGTGGGAAGGAACCTTTCCCACTGACAATCCCTGGCTGTCAGCATAAATGCCCACTGCAAAGGTTCTTGGAACTCACGGATCCTGTTGTTCCCCAGGACTGGGAGCGAGAATGCCAGGTAGCAACCATCATGCACGACACAGGTGAGCCCATACTGGACCCCAGCGTGGCAGAAGGGAAACTTGGCTGATCCCATGTTGACCACTTGTTTTCTCCCTTGCAGAACTGTTTGTGGGTCTGGCTGTCTGTGGATCCATTCTCCTTCTCCTCATAATCCTCCTGTTGACTGTACTCTTTCGCATACAGTCCCAACACCCTGGCTACCGGCATGTTTCCAACGAGGGAGAAGAACAGGCCTGACAGTTGCTTCGACTCCTTCCCAAGCAGTAGGAGGGAGCAGAGTTGCCCCTAAGGATGATTGGGCACCTTCAGTTACTGAGCATTCTTTTGCTTTGGCCTTTGCTTCCCAGAATGAAGCGGGACTTGATTTTTGGATTCTTGCTAAAGGCAACGTCCCAGAGGGAGAGAACTGAGCTGCTCTAATGGAAACAACACCTTAAGTCTGCAGCCAGTGTACTGTGTGGTGCCAGCAGTCCTCTAGAGTTTACCTAGCCTGGGATTCCCACCATGGCAAACAGGAGCTGAGCAAGAGATTTCCTCTGTTGAGGTGACTGTAAATGTTACCACTCACCATGACTGTGGCAGAGAGGCCTCCAGGAGCTGCCGCATGCAGTGCAGTCAGGAGCTGCGTGTCTCTTCAGGGTTAACCTCCTCCGAGTGCTTTTCCCTCAAGCCACGGGCTGGTGATGATGGTGGGAAGGCTGGGCTCAGAGCAGAGCAGCAATGCACCAAGACTCAACTACTGGCCATGCAGAGGGAGCTACAGATGATGGCAGATGGTCAAAAGTGTTTCTTGAAGTTGCTGCCAAGTAATTGCTACTGGCAACTGGTCTTTCTTTCCCTCCTTACGTTGTAGCTCAAGAGAGGACTGGCCTGGAATCAGGACAAAACTGGCAGTAGTTTCTAGGATTCAGCTCAGAGTAGGTTACATATGATCCAAAGAAGCTTTAAGTGCTTCATTTGAAGAAAGAGATGAATTCCTGTGGCCACAGCAAACTCACACCCAAGTTCTTGTGCCACATTGGCTCTAGAAAGGAAAGTCCCCATAGATTAGAAACTTGGGCCCTGGGTAAAGATTCAGCCTTTGAATTTCACCTACCACCTCTGAGCTTCAGGTACCTACGACAGCAATAGCCAGTTCTGCAGGCAGTCCAGATTTCAGCTATGAGCCGAAGGAATACACTTTACCAGCAGAACGGTTTTATGCTGGAATTAAAGAGATGTAGCAGAGCTATACCTAAGACTAGATTAAATACCAGGGTCTGCAATTTTCCTTCCTACCTTTCCCCGTGGATGGACAGCAAACAGAAACTGCCCACCTTCACTTGCCCCAGGGTTTGGCATTTTGTCCAAAGCGTGGTTCTGTTTCTGGGCTGCCCTCTGTACGCAGTGCAGCTGCTGCAGGAGCTCCATGCCAAGCACCACCTGCCCTGGAGCTCTTGGCAGGAAAGGAGAGACTGCGGCAGGCACCAGGAGCACAGGCTCTTCACATGGTGATGCTGCACATTCACTTCCCACTTTTACTTCCCTTTCTGGTGCTCTTCCCTTCCCGTCTTGGCGGCTGAAGCCTGCGCTTAGGTTACAGACGTTTCCTTTTCTTCCCCTATTGGAGTACCACGGGAACTCTCCCTCCACCATAACTAGCATCTCCTATCATGGGAACACTAAATCAGCAGAAGCAGCTTGCTGTTCTCAGCATCTTCCTCACCTTTCTGTCCTCTGAAAATATAATCTAGGTCTTCTGCACAGCAAGACAGTCATGAAGAAAAAGCTACTGCCTGTGAGAACACGCACAAGAAAGAGGTAATAGAAAGTGCATTGAAGAGGCCCAGACCTGTTTTTTAAAGTCAGCAAATTTTGCACACAGAGGAAAGGTTTCTATGATGATTTAAACACTTTGACTGTGAATGATTTTCTGTAATTGTTCCAATACATTTCATGATTAAAATCAAATTTGCACCTAACTACTCCTCATCTTCTCTAAGAGCTCACAGGGCACCAGCATGCTCAGTGCTGGAAAACAGGCAGCACTAACTGCAGTGCACCCCATCCCAAAGTCATTCCCTGAACTACAGTCACCCTTACAGCAGAGGGTTCAGACAAACTACTTTTGACTGCAGCTAGAGCTTATAACACAACCCATCCAACCTGGAACGGTCTGTTGCAGACAGTGCTATGGTACTTCCACAACTGTTCTAGGTCTCTGTTTGCTCCTGCAGAAGGATCCAACTCCTGCCCCTGTACAAAGCAGTCCATCAGGATGCTCAAAGCAGCCACTCTATATTGAGGAACTTTAGTACAAAACTTTATTAATACCAATACTGCAGAACTATAAAAGTGAACAGAGAATGTGAGCAGGCCTGGAGCCCGTCCCAGCCCCAACCCCTGGGACAGCAGCAGGGCCCCAGACAACCTTGTAAACAAACTAGAAAAAGCAGAACCTTTCAGTTTAACAGCAGTCTTGAGATATGGCTCTCAGCAGGGATGTTTCAAAGACGTTCCTCACATCTGCTTTACATCACCTTTTAGCCAATGCTCTGAAGCACAGAGGCATGGCTGCAAAAACCTCCCATTAATGGCAAGGGAAAGCCTAGAGCTCTGACAACAGGAACTACAGCATCATACTGCCCTTGCATCCCATTAAGTGGATAGAGAGCTCTGGCAGCATCGTGTTCTTAATGGTCTAGTTTAACAGCTGCAAGCACAGAATAGGCTAAGCCTGAGGTCTTGATACACATTCTCCAGGCCTGCATACAACAGTCTGATGTTCCCTGAGGTACCCACTGCCTCACCTGTGAACATTCCACCTTTTCAGGATGTTCATCTTGTTAGCAAAGGGTTCCTCAGCACAGTTGGACTGTAAGAGGCTGGGGACCCTGTCAGGAGCTGCTCCACAGCAGACTGCAAGAGGTGGTAACCTCTGACAAGTGATGACAAGCAGATGTGGCAGGCTGGAAGCAGTCACTTCAAGATGTGAGAACACCTCTGAAGTTTTCCTAATGCCTCAGAAAGTGGGTGGTAACTCCCCATGGAGGAGGACTGAGTACTGACACAACTGTCTAGAAAAGGAAGCAACGAGAATGAGGGAAGCAAGATCAGATCCAGGGAGGAAGGAACAAGTAGAAGTCTAATGCCCTGCACAGCTTATACTGCCCACTGCCAACACTGAACTTGTACCCTGTGATCCAGAAAGGACCAGAATACTGATCAGTTCTCCAGATCCTTCCCTTTTAACTTCCTTCCCTGGGATTTTGTGATTTAGAACCGTTGCTTTTTGTTCCCATCTCCTCCAGCTCCCAGTACGAGGTTAGCTTTGAGTTTCTTTGTCCCAGGTTTTGCATGCCTCTGCCCTCCACATCTGGACAAACTCCAGCTTCCAATTCCCTGTTCTGTCATGGCTTTCAGAAGATGTTCTTGCTTCTTGGCCACCATCTCCTCCCGGCTCCAGATCAGAATATTAAAGCCTGAGAGGAAAAATTAAACGCTGCATCAGAAACTCTGCACTGAATAGAATACCTTAGGCTATTTAAATGCCATTTTAAATGCAGAATCCAAAATGCTTTCTCAGTTCTAGTGCCCCAGGTTCTCTTTACTTACCCATGCCAGAAGCCAGCGTGTCTCCCATAGGGTTAAATTTATTGAGCTGAAAATGGAAACACAGAGTCCGTAAGAGCATCACTGCTTATATAACATGGTCATAAGAGCACCACAGCTTATACAACAGCAATAAACCATCTGGAAAACCCAGTGTTCGCTAAAGAGTATCACAAAAACCCCACAGATGACCATGGACCAGCCCTGCTCGAGTCAGCAGCTTTAGCTGGCAGCCCCATGAGAGCATGAGTCTGTCACAAGTAAATAGGATGCTCCTGTTATTCTAGACCCTAAGAATAAGGGTGTCCTTCTGCTGTGGCTCAATACACAGCAACCCTTTTACCTGCAGTGCTCAACTCACCGAGATGATGCCAGAAGCGTTTGGGTCATAGAGCTGACAAACCATCTCCCCAGTGTTTCCATCAAATACATCAACAGTTCGCAGCTCATTCACTGTGTATCCCGGGAACTTGGGGTCTGGGTAGCGACCTGCCACGATGAGGTCGTAGCGAGGATGCCACGTTGCCTGGTCACAGAGCAGAGCAATGGGAGGTTAGGAGAAAGGGACAGAGATTGTACTGAAACACACCAGACAACTGGTAGAGGGAGCAACAGTTTCTACATCCCACCCACAGGTTGAGGAATGTGAGTATCCTCACAACAGCGCTCTGCTGGGAGTTGCAGAAGTGTGAACGTCCACCCACCAGTGCAATACCTGACCAGAAATCAGACCATTTCTGATTTATAGCCATCCATTAATACAAGTGTGATACTCTTCTTGAGCTGCAGTGGCTTAACTCACCTTAATAGGTGTGAGGTGCTGAAACTGCCGATGTGGATGTGGGATCAGATGCTGCGGCTTGGTCCAGTCTGAAGACGAGTAAATCCTGATTTCACTGTGCTGGTCCGTGCTTAGGAGCTTGGCACCATCTGTTGGGCTGAAGTAAGCTAGGGGAAGGGAACAGGAAGGCAAACAGAAGATCACAGTGCTGTGACTGACAACAGACACAGACATGACACTTCTCTGGTTGGAGACCCATTGCTATTTCTTTAATAGGGATATGAATATGGCCATGTGAACCAACAGACTTTTCCTGTCTCAAACTCAAAGCTCTTACAATCAGTAAGCTGCAACTTACAGGGTTACAGAGGAAGAACAATTATTCCCATTTCAGAATGGCAGAGACACTGCAAAGAAAGGAACTTGCTTGCTCAAATGGAAAGTCAGTGGGAAAACTGCAAACAAACACCTGCAGTTCAGACTTCACTGAACTGATAAAACTGCACCCAGGAAACAAGAAGTCTGAGCCCCAAGCTCTGCTTTTGTCAAAGGAACTGCCCCAGTAAATTGCATTTTCTGATCTCAGCCACTGCTGATGCTACCATACTGTCACCCAGGACACATACCTCTCAAAGCACAGTGCCACAGGTCTGTATGGCAAGTCTGACCATGCTGCAGCTGCCCTACCCACCTCCCTGCCTCCAACCACACATTCCCAATGCCTTGCTTGCTTCCAGCTACTGCATGAGTGCAGGTCTGAGTGAAAGCTACACTGCCACAACAATAAAAGCTGAGCTGAACGGACCCTGCACACATCCGTGCACTGAAATTATTAACTCACCTGCATTGACAGGTTTCTCATGAGGAAGCAGATGAAGAAAACTCATTTTGTTTTTGATGTTTCTGAGGTCCCAGATTTTGACTGTCTGGTCCACAGACGCTGTGGCCAGCAACCACTCACATCGGGAGTTAAACTCCACATGAGTCACTTTCTTCTTGTGCAGTTTCAGCTTCCAAATCTGCAGCAAAGGAAACAAGAAAGTCACACAGAAAAAAAGTAACCAAGGTCTGGAGCAAGGAAATGGAACAATTCTACTAGTGCAGAATAAAGAGGTCTCACATTCAGACAGTAACAAAACTCATAAAAAACACAGAGTTTATCCACTGGGAAAAAGAAAGGAGAAGAATGACTTTGGGAACTAGTTAATTCTAGGATAACTCTGACCCACTGATTTATTACAGCTCCAAGAAAGGAAAACGCAATCCCTGGTTCATGGAGGGAAGTATTAGTGCCACTGTGTAAAGCAAGGTCACATCTGGCAGCTCTTTACACAGTGCCAGTCATCCACCTCCAGAAAGATTAAACCAAACTGGAACAGGTACAGAAAATCATTACCAAGGTAATAATAAGAGGCAAGGGCCTGCTTTCTGGGAGAAGACCAAAAGAGCTTGCTTTATCTCAGTAAGAAAGGTAAAAGGAGATATAATTGGCTTCTAGAAATACAGCAGCAAAGAAACACGAGGGGAGGAAAAATATTTTGGTTAACAAGAACAAATGGATATAAACTGGACATGATTAAACTTGTATCTGAAGCTGGAAGCTCATTTCTAATCAAAAGGGTGATGTCCACCTTCCCTACAGTAACGGGTATCTCCCAAGTGCAGAAAAGACTATCACATTCTTTGAGGAGAAAAAAGGAGAGGAAGCAACTAACCTTGAATTAGCACAAATCATTTGGAGCACCCCTGACTCTGCCCACTAATGTACACAGCTGCCTCTGGTCACTGCTCAGTCGGTGGCAAACCCTTACAGATGTTACCTGCCCCCACAGGTAGGAGGAGAAAGGGTCACACAGCCTTTGAAAGCCTCCAACACGTCTCTAGCGTAGTTCAGCCTCCAAACCTGCCTCTGCCTGCCCTCTCGTGTCTGATGGCAGCAGCGCACTTTCTGTCCCAACACTGGCTGAATTCCGGCTGTGTACCCGCTCCAAGGTCACAGAAAGGTATACACTACAAAGCAGTAGCTCCTAAATCATTCCCATCAGTGCACTACGTTTCTGGAAGTGAAGGTTGTTGGCAGAGTGTGCTCACATCATCACGATACCCCACAATTAGTCTGGCCAGTGGCAACTACTTTTAAGGAAGGTGTGGCACACAACACAGTCCCTGTTTGGGAACTGTTACCATTACACTCAACAGTGTGAAAATGCCTAATGAATGGCAGAAGTGAGGACTTCTCACCACCGAGGCAATGAGTGGACTCATTTCCTGAGCTGCAAGACACCTGCTCCTCTTTCCAGGGTCCCTGTAGTGCAGGGAAGCACATGAGCCAGGAAGATTCCCGTAGAGGAGACGCTGCATGGAGCCATACAAACCTCTTCGCCAGAAGTGCTGAGCAGGACCACGTTGCCCACATTGTCACCGGTCACCACCGCGCGGCAGCTTGCGGAAACATCAACGCTGCAGTACCAGCAACTAGGGGGAAAGACACAGCATCAGTGCTGCCTCCCACCGGCAAGGGAAGGCAGCGAAGCTCTGGTTCACTTCGTCCCTGACAAGGGAGACTGCAACAGACCACAACTGCCATCT